AAAAAAAAAAAAAAAAAAAAAAAAAAAAGAGAAGGAAAGAAAGAAAACGGCAGACGCGGCAGTTTTTGAGTTGCAAAGGCCAAAAAAGCAAGCACCGGCAAAGATATGGGTCTCGCTCCACTACTTTCGACTCACGAAAAATTTCATGAGTACTCTTAGAGCTGTCAGAGGTCTAGAACTCATGAACAAAGTGGCATCGCTCCACTTACTCTAGACTGAAGAACTCTAGAAGCACTCACAAAATTCTGACACCGTTTCTAGAGTAAGTGGACCGACACCTATCACTCTCGAAAGGCAAAAAAAATTAAAAACAAATGACTGCATATGGCCACGTTCTAGCGGTGGATAGATTCCAGAGCCGAGCGTGAGTACTCACGATTTTCGTGTGCGCTTCTACAGCGCTACACCACAGCGCCAGCTCGATCTCAGTCTTGTGCGGCTGCACCCGCAGCACCAATGGTAGACGGTACTAGGGTGATCGTTAGTATTCCCGCCCCCTTCCCTTTCTTCCCTAATCACACCCATCCCGAGGCTTGGCTGGAAGCTGTAGAAGCTAAAAACTACAGCGCAACCGATCTTCCCCGCGTTCTGACATTGCTACTACGCAATACGTCGCATGACTGGTTTAGAACATACACGTGGGTAGATTGGGATACTTTCAAGCAAGCCTTCTTGGCTCGATTCGATACGGTCAGTGAAGATGCCGCCTGGTACGTGCTAAAAAATCGGCCACAAGGACCAAGGGAATTGTTACCCGATTTCGTCTATCGGTTTCAAACCATGCTGGACAAATCCGGGCGAGACGAGAAATCCGTTCGAGATTTGTTCATCGACCATCTATGAAGTCCTACATTAAAAGGCAAACTGCAGAAAAAGGTCCCGAAAACACACCAGTTATCGGCTATCATCACTAAAGCATTGGAACTGGATCTAGCTGATACAAAAAAGTATATCAGCCAGGGAGACGAAGATATTACAGATACCATACGGGATGTAACGACTAAAAGGCGATCATGGCTGCAGGCGTTCGAACGGTTTTATCCCCGCTCCGACCATGACTTTCCCGGCGGGATCGTTTCCGATACCCCACCTGCTTCGTCTTCCTCTCCCCCGGTGAATCAATCGATTGCAGTCGTTAAAAGCGGAATCTCACCCGAACCCTCCTCGCCGGCCATAACCAACTTACATCTTGCCCAGATGATCCATACGGCCACTACCAAGCAGTCCGAATGGATGAGCAACTTGATCCAAATGCAATCTGCTCACATGGAACGGATGGAACAGATAATGAGTAGGCTAATCAAGCCTAACCCGGCCTCTGCTCGGTCGGCCTCTGCATCATTTTCGCTCTTMCCTACCCCGCCTGCTCCAGGGTACGCACCTCAGTTCCCTCACCTAGCCAATCCAGCCGGAAAGATCGAGTGTTTTAATTGCAAACAGCCCGGACATTTCGCCCGAGACTGCCCGCAGCCAAAACGTAGTCAGCCCCCACCTGCGGCGGCCCCCGTGGCCCTGAATCAAGGACGAGTGGCCGCTTTGATGGATACCGCCCAGGGAGGAGAGCTCGTGGCATATGCCCCAGAACGGCCTTCCCCCTCGACGACAATAACGTCGACCTCTGGAGCTTCTTCCTCTGACGCTGCTGACGTGGTCGATCCCCTCGAGTATCTTCATCTCGCAGGCATGATCGGAGCGATCCGATCGGCCCCAGATGATCTCGAATGGGTCGATCGCGAATCCAATCCTGGTCCGCAATTCCGAACAGGAGAGATTGACGTGCTACAAGCACTCAAACAACTAGATATTCGTGTTCCAATCCCGGTGGGACATCTGCTCACCATATCTGAAGCGGCGAATGATTAACTTTTACAGCATTGCCAGAAAAATCAAAAGCGCTTCACCTATCAGCGCATAAAATGGATGTTAAAGAAGAAGGAAGGAAGTGAGGAAGTTGCACCCCCCGAACCTGACACGAAAGAACCTGAACCCGAAGCCGCACGTATAGCAGCGATCTCTTTAGTAGAGAAAGATCACTTCGTACGAGTTCGGCCGGTGCTATGGAAAAGCGCGGAGTGCGATTGCGAGATTTGGGGCAAGCCGTTTAACGCCCTTATCGACACCGGGTCTTCTGCAGTAGCCATATCATTAAACACTGTCAGAAAGACGGGACGACTCGGATCCATTCTTCCTCAATCTGGCAAAGACAATTATGTCTCTGCCGACGAGGAAGCAATGAACATCGTAGGCATTATCGAGAACGTGGCTGTAAAAGTCGAACGAGTACACGTTCTTGTTAACGCGCTCGTAATAGATGTACGTTCCTATTCTGTGTTGTTGGGATTACCTTGGGCGATGGCGATGGGCACACGTCTGCATTTCGATTTGGAACAATTGGTGCTCACGCAAACTGGGGAAAAGCCTCAAACTGTTCCCTTGTGAGTTTCCACCCGAACAGTAAAACGGGTCCCTAACTCGGCCCAAATTGGAATGATTCGATGCATTGATCCCGAGGAGCGCTCTCCCTCGCACATCAGTGATGGAATCAGCGAACAGGAATATGAAGAAGAGCTGCCTAGGGAAGATGAATGGAAGCACCTGGCTGAACGTTTTGAACACAAAATTCCCAAGGAATTTCAAGTGTGCCCCGACCCTGCTCGAAGTTTCCACGTGGATTCAGGAGACAGCGCACTTGAGCCTCTGATAACTCAAGTTAGTCCTTCGGTCCTGCTTGGGGAACCTATATTACAAGTATCTGACCTGGCCGATGATTCGGAACCCCTCGCACCTTGTACGAAGGAGCTCTCTCCTTACGAACGCGTTATCAGCAAACGGAACAATATTTGGATGTTTCTGTTTTTCCGCACAGAACGTTACTAATGACAGGAGTCACCATCGCTTTGATTAAACAAGAGCCGGAAACACCGATAAGTGATGTACCTGACCTACTGCAAGAAATGACCGACCTAACGGGGCTAACTGTGGAACCAACCTCGGTTGGTTCAGAGATTGATGCTGAAGCCAAAGAAACGGAGATGATCAGCCCCGCTGAGTCCCAGATGATAGTAACTGTCTTCTCTATTCGCACCAGTAGTTATGTTTTCTCTAGTGTCCATGATCGACGGGAACGGTCGGATGATTGGATCGATATGCCCCTTGAGATTTTCGGGGAATCAACAATCACCCTGCCAGGTCACGTCCCCGCGGAACTTCGGAAATCATTAATCCGTGTGTTAAATGGTTACGCAGAAGTATTGAGCATACACGATAACGACATCGGCTTAACTAATGTGATCGAGCATGCCATTCTCACGGGAGACCATCCACCCATTAGTTGCGCTCCCTACCGATACTCGTCAGCTCAGAGAGCGGACACTTTTCAGCGGATTAAGGAGTTCGAAGCTAATGGATGGATCGAACCCGCTATAGGTCCATGATCTTTCCCTGTAGTGATCGTTCCTAAAAAGGCCGGAGGGATTCGCGTTTGTATTGATAATCGAAAGTTGATTGATATCACGATCAAAGATGTGTACCCCCTCCCCGGGATTGATGAACTGTTGGATGCGATTAGGAGGGCTCGATTTTTCAGCAAGTTTGATGTTCGCCATGGGTTCCATCATCTTCTTGTTCGAAAGGAAGATCGTCCAAGAACAGCGTTTGTACTTTTCGAGGGCACGTGGCAGTGGATTCGATATCCGATGGGTATCTGCAACGTCCCCGCGACCTTTCAACGGGCCATGAACATGGGTTTTCAGAATTTCGTGAGAAAGACTCGTTTGGCGCAGAGCATCATCAACTACTGCGTGATTGTGTACATGGATGGTATCTTGGAGTATTCGAGTCCCTACGAGGGACACGTGCAGCACATCGAATGGGCACTGCACGTATTACGAGATGCGGGCTTCAAGGTGGCGCTTGAGAAGTGTCGGTTTTTTCTCACCACCATTTCCTTCCTAGGGCACGTGGTGACAGACAAGGGACTCCAGCCGGAGCCACAGAAGGTGGCAGCTGTCAGGGATGCGCCGGTGCCTACAACTATCACGCAAGTTCGCGCCTTTCTGGGCCTGGCCTCGTACTACCGAAGATTTATCAAGGGCTTCGCGGCGATTGCGGAACCCCTCACGAATCTGCTGCGCAAGGATCAGCCGTTGATCTGGACGGCGGAATGCGATCAAGCGTTTTCCAAACTCAAGACCGCTCTCATTTCGGCTTCGGTCCTTATAACACCGGATCCCGAAAAGCCTTTTGTTCTCATCATTGACTGCCAGCCAGAGGCGATTTCGGCGATCTTTGCCCAGGTGGGACCAAGCGGACTCGAGAGTGTGTTGGAGTACGCCTCCAAATCGGTATCAGCTTGCAAGCGCAACTACGCCGCTCCGACGGGGGAATGCTACGCGGCTCTCTGGGGAATCAGCCACTTTCGCGCTTACCTGTACGGGTCAAAGTTCACCTTGGTAACTGATCATGAGCCCCTGTTGGCTCTGAAGAAATCGAAGGATTACTTTGGCATGATCGGGCGATGGGCAACGGTGCTGCAGAGCATGGAATTTGACATTCATCATCGGAAGCACGAGAGACATGGGAATGCGGACGGACTGACACGACTGCACCGGCCCGAGAAAGTTCCAAAGAGTGAGGAGGTGATTCCCTGGAACGAACCCGAACAGGAGATCGGACCTCGGTATGGCCAAGTGGAGATCTTGTCGAAGCAGTGAGTGACACGAGGACTAATTGGTCTGTTTTACCCTCTCTGCATCCCTTCCTTCTCTGTCATCATGACTACCGGACTTGCCTCCGCAACCCCTTCATCTCCTACTAATTCTACCCCTCTCACGTCCTCAGCTTTTCTTGCCACCCTCCCCGATAAATTCTGTTATTTTTGCACGTGCATTGCACGGGTCTATGGGGTCGACTGTCATCCTTTCAAAACCGGGTTTGTCGACTGGGTAGAATGTGCCACGTGTGTCAATCGTGTGCACGGGGCCTGCGTTCGATATCGGATGAATAGCAAGGAATGGAGGTGCCCCCTGTGTAGAACGAACAAACTCCCCACGGAGGTTCGATTCGAGGCCGCCCGTACGGACGGCCCTGAATACGACGAAAAATACCGACGAGCGGAGGTTTGCACGGATAAAATTTTATTGTCGAAATTAGCGGGATTATCATTGGGCCACCTCACCAAACACGACAGACGTAGGGCGACCAAGAGATCTTGGGACTATCGATGGGTCAACGGCCATTTGGAAAAGCGTAAAACTGACGGATCGGGCTCGTGGTTGACAGTTCCCCATCCATTCCAGAGATATGATTGGATCTGATCTGCTCACGAAGAACAGGCTGTTCATTTCGCAATACGTGTCACGGAGGCAACTGTAGATCAGAACCGATGGTTCTGGTTCAATATACGAGCTGATGTCAAATACATTGTCGCTAACTGTCTGGTCTGTGCCGCTGATCGCGCCCCTATACGGGGACCAAACACGATCGTACCAACAGAAGTAGAGCGTCATTTCCAGCGAGTCAGTATGGACACGACAAATATCGACGTGCCACCTGGCCCAAACCGCTGTGAATATTATATCCTGCTAGTATTAATAGATCATTTTTCCAAGTACATCGAAGTCTATCCCTGTAAGACCCGAAAAGCCGCAGAAATAGCCACGCACCTCGAACGGTTCCTCTATACCCATCTAGATACGGAAGAAATTCTGACCGACAATGGGTCTAAATTTAAGGGTGAGGTAGAAGAACTGCTTGCGCGAAGGGGTGTCACGCTCCGACATACGGCACCCCACGTGTCCCAGTCAAACGGGCTGGCCGAAAATGTCAACCGTATGATTGGAACCGCCCTTCGCAGGAACTTAGTGGCACATGACATGCGTCCTTGGCCTGAGATCGTATATGAGATCGTCGGGATCCACCGGGCCACCCCTCACGAGTCCACAGGGTTTACCCCTTTTCAGCTTCGAACTAATAGCCTCCCCTGTGTCGACTACCGGGGTAACTCGAAAATTGTCGAAGCAGGGGGTAGAGACACGCGGACAGCTCTCAAGGCCAAGGCCAAAAGGTACACCGAATAAATGGAACGGGCCGTCCCGAAGCTAGCCCGAAAAAGGCAAAGGATGACCAAACTGGCCCACGGTAGACAGGTCCGTAGCTACGAGGCTCGGAAAGGAAATGTTGGGCCCTAGCACCAATATAAATTAGGGGACCTAGTGCAGGTACGTAAATGTGCACGCGACTGGAAACTCGCTCCCAAGTTTTCTGGCTGTTTTCACGTTGTCAAGCTCGGACCCAACGACGCCAACACGGTGCGCATCGTGCCTGAGGCTAGTGCCAACCATAACTCTGTCCCCATCGTTCGGCATACCTCCTACCTCTGTCTTCTTCCTCCTTCTGATCTTCCTCCCTCTTCTTCCTCGGAAAGCGAGGAGAACGACGACGATCAAACCCTCTCTCCTCTTTCTCCCTCTTGTCCTTCGTCCTCCTCTCCCACCTCGCCATGAGTTTTATCACGGAGCGGGTTCTTGACCACATTTCAGAGATTCGGCAAGTTTGTCACCCTCGGCTCAATGCAGATCTACGGCGTTTGATGCGATTCTTCTGCGACGAAGGTATTTGTGCCGCCGCCGCGTTTCGAATCGAGGGAAGTCCTCACGCAGTAGTATTCGCGGAGGTAACCGCAGTTCATCGGCGAGCGGGCCCCAAAACGAGCCACGTCACCACGGTTGCGGCGTTCAGCGGCGACATCAGCTCGGTTAGTGGCATACCGCCATCTTGACCTCGTTGTGCGAGTGGACGGAGCAAGTGTCCAACGTGTGGCAGCACGTCCTCGCCCGACAAGGGTATAACCTCATCCCGATCCTTGCATCGGATCTTGGCGATATTCGTCGATCACCGCGCGAGCGGCCTGTTGCGATCCCAACCCTCGTCCCCTTCCCACATCCCCAATGAACCACGACGATCTTCTCGCTCCTCTCTCTATCTTTGGTCTCCCCTCTCTCTTCCCCACCTTCTGGCAATCCGATCTTCATCCTTCTCTTTCCTTCTCGTTCGAGCCTCTTTCAGTCCCTCTTATCAATCCTGGACATTGGCGGCTGTGGCGCGAAACTTTTGAGGAGTTGTCTTTCTGCTTGGCCAGAGTACAGGTGACGTGGACACCGACCAGCGGGCATCCCGCGTGGATCGAAAATTCGGAACTGCTAATCATCCAAGCTTGGAGGACTAACGCGGAGGGCGATCTTCTTGGTTTTCTCTTTGGATCGGTACAGCCGGGGCGCCGCCAGCTGATTGCGCAGGAGCTCATCGCACCAATCGTGCAATTGGAGGACGATCTCTCGCCCGACATCTATTTACGGAGTGACGACATCCCTGCTCCGTACATTTTCGAGCGATCATTGGATCCGCTCCTTCAGTGGACTGCGTGCTTGGAGGAACCTAGGGACGAGGATACGCTATCATTGCGGCAGGAGTATCTTAAGTCGTACGATATCATCCCTCACGCCTTTTATCCAAGGGCGGAGGAAGTGGTGATCGACGACGACGAAGAAGACGAAGACGAGGAAACATCGGAGGAGGAAATCTATAGTGAGCATAGCGAGGGCGAGCTGAGCGAAGGAGAAGAGGAGGAAGAAGAAACCGGATCTGAGTGGGAAGCCTTGCCGGAGGAAGCGACGCGTACGGGAACGGAGGTGGAAGATCCGGAAGTGGCGCGAAAGCGTGAAGAAATTGCCATCGGGAAGCGCCAGCTGGAGTTCGCCAGCGAAGCTAGCCTGCGCATCGGTAACGATCCGACCAGGGATCCAGAGCCGCCAAAGCCCGAAGATGGCGACCCTGCAG